TGGTACCAGCACATCAAGTAGATGGAGATGCTTTGTCCCCTAACACATTTTCAGACACTTTTAGATTTGCTCTGCCTTGTAGTCTCCCACAATGTGTTGCTGCAGTTTGGGGTGACTTTGTGTAAACAGCTAGCACTTCAGAGCCTGTGGACTTAACACCCACTTCATTATGCAGGTTGTCTATGTGTTGCTGACCTTTTAGCAAACAGAACAGAGTGAACAACAAATGGAATACAGAAGTGAAGAGGGAAGGACACATAAGAGAAGAACTAAGAAAACTCATAAAGAGGAAGAAAATAAAAAAGAAAAAAAAAGAGAAAGGAAGATAAGAAGAAGAGAAATAAAGAACCAAAACAACAGTGAACCTAAATTGTACTCAAAACCCACTTTGTACATATCCAGAAATGATTAGAGAGGTCCATGAGGCTCAAGTACTGCTAAGGACAGTGGTTAGCCCAGCCATTCTGCTCTGAGACCTTTATCCTCTGTCCTGTTAGAAAACAGAAGAGTAGTGAGAGTGACTGCAAAGGTTTCCCTTAAGTAAGGACAGACCACACATAAAAGCAGTGAGAGGATAGCAAACCATTTTGCTAAACAGACAGCATAGCACTCCTAGTGGAGAGAAGAAATACATCTGCAGCTACCTCACTATAACATCTGGTAATCTTTTTCTTTTTTTTAAAATCCAATTAATGAAACCATTGAAAAGAATATTATGCCATAAATCACTCTATAAACATATCTGATGCCACAACAGTGCCCCATCTCTGGCAGTGTGGATAGTGGGACTGCTCCAGACTTTCAGCAGAGGAAATCTCAAAATCTAATTTAATGTTTTCAATAATTACCAGAACAAAAATGATCTGTAGGTTATGGAAAAGTGAGTGCACATTCATTTTGATATTATTTTAAAGCATTTGCTTTATTACAATAAATACCAAGGTAACTGTACTCTGTGATAATGCTCGTAGTGTCTTTTTCTCCAAAATGAGTACAAAACCAAGTTACATGCATATCCAAGATGATTTCAAAAGCTACTCTACAAGGCAGTGCAGACAAATGAGTATGCTTACTAAACTTCTGTATTTCCTAGCTAAAATAAAACAAAAATTGTGCAAGTAAAATGTTAAAATTTGGGAATAACAAAGACAGTGCAGGGAGGCTATTTCTATTGCAGAGTTTTCTGAGAGAAGACATATTTCTTTGTATTGGTATCATCTCTTAGATTATATTAATGCAACTACGCTGGATAGAAAGCCCTTGGAGCAGAAGGAATATCTAAAATGTTAGAACTTCAATCACAGAGCAAGAAAGTTGCCAAAATAGTAAATTAAGGAAAAACATTATTTAATAAATAAGGTAACTTTGAAAGTTTGTTGCTTGTTTCATGTGTTTGCTGTGTCATGTTAAGCTCTCAGATTTTTTTAATCTAAGTTTCCTTGTCTTGTGATTGCATGATTTACATTGTTTGTATACAAATGTTACCATCTTTTACCTTCTGAGGATATAAGTATTTATTTCATTTGGTTGTGGCATAGAGGGGTTCATGTCTCATTGGACAATAGAACCTATAACAACAAAAATTCTAAGAATTACTTTCAGACTTCGTTGGTAGTCTTCCCATAAACCTTAATGAGCTCTGATTATGTCCTAAGAAGAATTATAAAGGTGATCACTTTACCAAGCATTTACTGAGAAAAAAACCCCCCACATTTCTTGGTGGAAAGAAGAAGTTTTAGCTTGAAGCCTGATACCAGCAGATGAAGGTAATTTCCCAGGGAGAAGTGAAAAGACAGCAAGCTCCTTAGTACTATCAAACTAATGTAGGAAGAAAAAACCTGATTTGGTCCACTTCTCATTTTCAGTCATTCCAAGTCATTTTCATGAACAGTTGTTTACTTGTTTTCAATTCCAATTCTATTAGTGATGGTAATCCAAAAAGGGAAGAGGGATATACATGACAATATTTTTATCTTGATAGTGTTCTCCATTTAAGCAGACATATGTCTTACAAAAAGCAAGGGGCAAGAAGTCTAATGTCAGTCATGGTTAAATGGTTAATTGGATAAATCATGGACTTCATTTGACACCAGGTCTACTTGCATGTGAAAATGAGAAAACTTTGTAGAAGTGGTATCAAAAAAGATTTGACTAAACTCAATGACTGTTATTTCCAGCTCAGGCTTGTTTTCCTAAAGGCTTCCACAACATTTGTGTCTCTCTATAATCAGTCTGTGCACTCATTGGTTCTGGATACTTTCCCTAAATCCTTATTTATTTTTACCGGGTAGTCCAAAGTTTTGTCTTCTCTCATCTCCAGACTGAGGCAAAAAAAGTACTCTCTTAATTTAAAATGTAAATAATATTTTAGGTTAGCTTCAAATACTGTAGCATAAAAACTTCAAGGCTGATTTGTCTATGTTAACATATATTTAGTTTATATATAACATGCACACAGTTTCTATACTCAGACTGAATATGTCAACATACACTCAGTATACATTAATAGAGTCAATTTTTCAAAAACTGTGTGCTTGAAATGTGTATATTTATGCATAAAGAACATGGATAGAAAATACAGTTTGCACAGACTTCTCTAAAGAATAGGACAGTAGGGTTGACACTGATTTTAGAGAAGTTCTGGTATGGGTTTGAACATGATCTTTTACCTCCCATCTAGAAGGGTTCATGCTGCCACTGAAGGAAAATAGCAAGGAAAATTGTAAGTAGAGATCAGATGTGTACTAAGTGAAAATACTTGGTTACCAGTAATGGATATATTCACATTTGTATAGGTATTTTTGGTATTTTCAAAGTCTGACAGATAACTCAAAGCAGTGTGTGCTTCGGTAGGGAGGACTTTTTCACTACTGACATTAAATGAATTCATCGTAGTAAAGTTTCTTTGTCAGATCCTCAGACAGATACAAGTTTTGCATGAGTAGCAAATGAGAGAAAACTGTGTAGATAATTTAGTGCTTAGTTCAACAACTGTATGACTGAATACATTTAAAAACACAACATATTTGGAAGTACAGACTGAGAGCCCATTAAACATATTAAGATAATGATAATTATCACCATTATAATAGCTGAAAAAAACCAGTGATTGAAAAAGCCCTAGATGGTGGTTCAATAACGCTGAAGCTCACAAACTGCTCAGCTTTAGCTCAAGAAATGTAATAGTGTTAAATTTGTCACTAATCCTTCCCACATCCAACACAAACAGCTGTAATTTTCATTCTTTCCTTATAGATGCCACTATTTCAGGCCTCAAGAGGAGAGCAAACATGCACTGTTAAGTGGCATGGTTCTGCACTCCTACACATTCAATTAAACTTGGAACCTCTCTTCTAGTTAAGAGAAACTTTTAACCTATTCAGCCACCTTCCTCCACTTTCATGTGTTTCACCTTCTTCTGAAAGAACAAATACAAGTACGAACTCCTGACAAAGTAACCTGTTTCCTTTTGTCAGAGGGTACATACCACTTTTGCTCATCTTGGCCTCCCTCCTGGTTTTATAATTGTGTTGCCCAAGAGCAAGATCATAACACTGGTAGGCAGTGTTTAACTTAGAGAAACTTCACAACCTCATATTTTTGCATCTGGACATATTATTAATCTACAGACAGAAGGCATTTTCATACAGGAAGCAGAATCTTGGTTCTACTGGTCTAAAGAAAATTTGCTGTTGACTCCACTACAGAATATTAGCTGGACACTGTAACAATCCTTGTAGAGCAAATAGCAGCATTTCCATACTTTTTAAAATTCTTTGTCTGTAGAAATGAGTGAACATGAGAAAGTAAATGGTGATTCATATTATGTATTAAACTCGCTTCCTCTTTGATGGAAATCAACAACATTATTAGCTGCTGCATAGGTATTCTATTTTGGAAACACCTCAACAACTCTAAACTTACTGTCACATTCCTTTTGTTGTTTTGAAAGGACAGGAAGAGCTAATTTGTGGTTCTATTTTTCAAAATAGTGTATTTCCAAATATACTTTTTCGCATAAAGAAAGTGTGAGAATCTCTGTCTCTTCTAAAGGCATTGACTTTTTAATAAGCTCTGGAGAGCTAGGATTTTTGGGGGAAGTGTTATATTTAAGTGATAATACAGCATGGAAATCTGTGTCTCAATGAGTTTTCCAGACCAAATTTTCAAAACCTAGGAGCTGCAATATTACTGATGAAAGCTAGAATTTTTAATGACCATCCAATGTTTAGAATCACTCTACATAGCACTACATTTTAAATATGAAGTTCTGTAGAAAGAAAGATGTTTTAAAGAAAAAAGAAACAAGCACTTTATAGAAGGCCCCTAGGTGATATTTAAATATAAAAATATTTCAATAAAAAGAAATATCAAAATAATAATAACAAAAAAATGAATTCACCCCCTCATGCCGATTTGTTGTAGAGTATTAAAATGAGAGCAGCTATTGCACAGTTAGGTAGAAAAAAAGTATTGGGAAACTATTAAAACTTTGAAGTTCTCTACTGAAGTTATTTAAAGAAGAGGGACTCTCCTCTCATTTCACAGAATATTCGGAGTTGAAAGGTACCCAAAAGGAATGTTGAGACTAAAGTGAATGGCCCATACAGAGACTAAACTCAAAACCTTGCTGTTTTTAGCTCTATGTTCTAAACAATTGAGCTAATCTTAGTCTTTCTGTTCCTTAACTGCTTCTTGCATCGTGGTCACATCTGTCATCTCTTCTATGGTTTCATCAGAACTCATGTTTTTATGGAATTCAGTTCTGGACAAGGTTAAGATCACATCTCCCTTCAAATTAGCAAGGTTTTGCCAGCAGAATGAAAGAAGAAAGAATTAATTTTTACATTATATGTGTTGGCAGATTCAAGAGGGAAAATAAAGCAATAGGGTGATCCATATATATAGACTTCCCCTTTCCTTTTCAGTGCTCATGTTGGTTTATATAGCACCTCTCTGATTGTGCTGGTCACTGACTATTTAAACACTTTCCCTCGTAGGCTTGGTCCTGTGATGCATGTAGCTGTGGACAGTGGAATCAACTCCTATGCTCAGTGAAAGCACTCAAAGGTTAGTAGTGCAAGGAAATTATTTCTTTCTAGTAATTTCAAAGAGTTCTACAGCCTCTACCGTAACTGTGGGTTCCAGAAAGAATGAAACTTTGCACAAAACTGGCCGTGGAAGAAGGGAGTAATAGGCAGACAAGAGAGCAATTAGACACAACTCACTGTCATCTCAGTGTATTTTTGGCAACATTTCAATAATCCAACAAAAGAAGTAAATAACATAGCTGGTTCTCAATTGCTACATGTCTTCTGAAGAATTATATACCCAAACTGCTGATAAAAAATCAGATACACAAGTTGAAAAATATTTGAGGGACAGACCCAGGAAGGGAAGATTTTGGGTTTACAAGCATATTTTGTGTTCAAATGGTGTGAGTTTAACTTTGTTAAAAATGGGTTTTTAAAGGTTTTTTTTCTTTTTCTTTTGGAAAGAAGTGAAGAATTTTTCAATATTCGGGGAATTCCCTTGCCTTTCTCCTTTCTCCAAAAATTTTCAAGATCTAACTGTTCCTTATTTTGATCAGGGAGTTAGGGTGACAAGGAAACATAGTAGAGTGAACACTCAGTTAAAGTCCTCTCTGACTGAGCATGCACACATATATATTACATATATATGCATAGACACAAACATAGGTGTGCAGGTTTGGGTGTCACAATAGAATAATGATATAAAACTATTAAAGAGTGCCCAAGAGAGGTCTATAAAGATGGTGAAGGGCCTTGAGGGGAAGCCTGATGAAGAGTGGCTGAGGTCACGTGGTTTGTTTAGCTTGAAGATGAGAAGACTGAAGGGAGACCTCATTGCAGTCCACAGCTTCCTAGTGAGGGGAAGAGGAGGGGCAGGCACTGAATCTTTGCTCTGTGGTGACCAGTGACAGGATCCAAGGGATTGGTATGAAGTTTTGTCAGGGGAGTTTTAGGTTGGATATTAGAAAAAGGTTCTTCCCCATAGGATAGTTGGGCACTGAAACAGGCTCTTCATGGAAGTGGTCACAGCACCAAGTGTGTTAAAGAAGTGTTTGAACAATACTTTCACCTACGCCATCTGATTCTTGGGGTGCCCTGTGCAGGGCCAGGAGTTGGACTCGATCCTTGTGGGGCCCTTCCAAATAGGATTCTTTATGATTCAATGATTTTATATTGTGTACATATATGTACACTATTTCCAATTAGTAAGCTAGAAACTGAAAGTCAAGTTACGGTATAATTATTAGATACTTGTCCAAGATGTAACAATTTCTTAATCTTTTTCCTCTATCAGATGTATTTTTTGAGTCGTAAGTTTAGAGATCCTTCAATTTTTGCTTCAATTAATACCTCTTCTTTGTCTATTGTCTAAATGTTCTGTTTTAAAGTTTTGTCACTGAGCCTTCAGCTTCACACTTTATCTCAAAGATAATTCCACAGTCTATTTCTTCTAAAGAAACAATGTGTTTGCAAGAAGTTTTTTAAAATGCCTTCTCTTCCCCATGGCCTAACTAGGTCATAGAGATCTGCTTTTATTTATCTTTAGAAGAAGGTTTATCAAGCATGGAGCTTCCTTAAAAAGAAATAGGAGTGTATTTAGCACTCCATTCACCATCTTACTCTCCACCCAGTATTTCCAAGAATGATGTTATAAATAGCATCAACATGTCACAGGGGATAAAGGGAAAATGTGTCTAGTTTTCCGGCCTAATCTCTACCTGGTTAGCTAGATACATGTACACAAACACACATTCATGTAACTGCATCCCTCAGGAGGGCTACAAGGATGTCGTGAGGTTATGCAGGGAGAAAACTGGAAGGGTCAAAGCCCAGCTAGAACTTAATCTGGCTACTGCTACAAGAGACAATTAAAAATATTTCTGTAAATACATTCACACCAAAAAAGTAGGCTGAATAAAGTCTTTGTTCTTAATGGATGTGGGGTTAAAGATAGCACCAAAGGGTGAAGAAAATGCTGAGGTACTTTGTGCCTTCTTTGCTTCAGTCTTTAACACTCAGACCAGTTGTTCCTAAGGAACTCAGGACTCTGAGCTGGAAGACAGGGACAGGGAGTAGAATGAAGTCTCCATAATTCAAGGGGGAATTGTCAGCAACCTGTGACACCACTTAGACCTGTATAAGTCTAAGAGACCAGACGGGATCTGCCCCAGGGTCCCAAGGGACCTGGTGAAAACGCTCACCGAGCCATTTTTCATAATTTACTAGCATTTCTGGCTATTTGGGGAGGTCCCAGTTGATTGGAGGTCAGCAAATATGACTTTCATCTACAAGAAAGGCTGGAAGGAGAGTTACAGAGCAGATCATCCTGAGGGCCGTCACACAGCATGTACAGGGCAATCAGGGGATCTGGCCCATGGGTTTAGGGAAGGCAGGTGCCACATGACCAGCATGATCTCCTTCTACGACCAGATCACCCAACTAGTGGATGAGGGAAAAGTTATGGATGCTGTCTTCCTGGACTTAGGAAGGCTTTTGATGCCATTTCCCATAGTATTCTCCTGGAGAAGTTAGTTTCTCATGGCTTGGACTGGTGGACAGTTTCCTGGATTAAAAAACAGGATGTCCAGGCCTAGAGAATGGTGTTGGATGCAGTTACATCCAGCTGGCATCTGGTCACTAGTGGTGTTTACCAGGGCTCAGTGCTTTGTCCAGCCCTGTTTACTATCTTTACTGATGATCTGAATGAGGGGTTTGAGTGCACCCTCAGTACATTTGCTAAGTTGTGTGGGAGTGTTGGTTTGCTGGAGAGTAGGAGGAATTTGCAGAGAAATCTGGACAGGTTGGATTGATGGGCTGAGGCCGATGGGGTGAGCTTCAAGGAGACCAAGTGCTGGGTCCTGCGCTTGGGTCACAACAACCCCAGGCAGCTCTACAGGTTGGGGACAGAGTGACCAGAAAGACACCCAGAGAAAAAGGATCTGGGGGTGCTGGTCAACAGTGGCTGAATATGATCCAGCAGTGTGCCCAGGTGGCCAAGAAGGCAAATGGCATCCTGGTTTATACCAGCAATAGTATGGTCAGGAGGACCAGGGCAGTGATTGTTCCTCTGTCCTTGGCACTGGTGAGGCCCCACCTTGAATCCTGTGTTCAGTTTTGGCCACTCACTGAAAGACGCACCTTCTGGAGCTGGAGCTTGTCCACAGAAGTAAAATGGTGGTGGGTCTGGAGCACAAGTCTGAGGAGGAGTGCCTGAGGGATTTGGGGTTTTTTAGCCTGGAGAGAAGGAGGCTCAGGGAAAACTTTATCACTTTCTACAATTACCCGAAATGAGTTAGGGAAGTGTGGCTTGGCCTCTTCTCCCAAGCAACAAGCCTTAGGACAAGAGAAAATGGCCTCAAGTTGGTCCAGGAGATGTTTAGATTGGATATTAGGAAAAAACCTCTTCATGTAAAAAGCGGTCAAGAACCAGACCAGGCTGTGGTCCACCAAGGAAGTGGCTGAGTCACCATCCCTGGAGATATTTAAAAGATGTAGACATTGGTGTTTAGGGATATGCTTTAGTGGTGGACTTGGCAGTGATGGGTTAATGGTTGGACCTGATGATTTTAAAGGTCTTTTCTAACATAAAGGATTCCATGATGCTGTGATTCTAGAAAGCCAAGGGAAAAGGTAGCAGCCTTATTTAAGGTGAACCAAAATTTACAACCAACGTTTTAGATGAACCCCAGATCCAGAAGAAGACATCTGTATGATCAGTGGAACCTAAAATTTTGGCAGAGGAAAATTATTAATCTGCCTTCACATCATATCACTAGAAAAGCTCAGAGCATTCTTATTTGTCAATTACTGTGAATCCCACGGGATTTGTTGATATTAATTCTATATTTGGTTTTATAGTGGAGATTTTGCCCACCTGTTTAGAAACAAAAAACCCCTATTAAATTGAATGTAATTTGGAGAGTTGTCAAATGTCTTTCCTCCTCCAAATCTGCCAGGTAAATATCTCTGGGATTAAAACAAAGAAAATAAATTAATCTCCGCCTTCTTATTACAATACAAAGTGAGAGAAGTCAGGAAACACGGCGCAAAATCTGATGGTACACAGTGTCCTTAGATCACTTGGCCATTGTTTTCTCTCACAGCAGCACATGTTAATGATACAAAGAAGTTTAATATTTTTTGGCTTTGGCTTTTCATGTCACAACCATAATAAATGTCCACATTGCTGTTTGTATTGCCATATCCTTTAGATGCACAGCCAATTTCTAGAGCCTGTGCATGCACAGCCAAGGACAGAATTTTGCCCACAAACAGCCTGACTGAATTAAATTAAGCAGAAACAGTGCCATACAGATTGAGCTGCGAAGGAGTTGTCATGGTACAGAATATTTCTGTTGTGAGGATGTTGTGTGGGTCAAACTTGATTTAAACAACTAAATCTGCTGCAGGAAGACCAAAGCCTTTTTGTTCTTCACTAGGCAACTTAGTTCTTCTTCAAAAAGCCTTTGTCTTATACAGGTTTAAGACATTCCTGGTTGTATTTAATTAAAAAAACCCCAAAACCTTCAAAACAATAAAATAGTCAATAAAATGTTAAACCCAGAAGAACAGGAAGAAATAAAGGGATTTGGGTTTTTTGCTTATTTTAAGGAATTTGGGCCACACAGAAAAAAATCGAGTATGATGAAGAACGAAGAAACGAGTTTTAATGTGGACAATGCCCAAGCCTCTCCCTTCTCCCGCTGCCTGCAGCCACTCAACCCCGTTACAAAGCCACACAGAACAACTCCGTTTGATGAAGAATTCAGAACACACCTTTCACATTTCCGCTATGGTCCTCCTCCTCTTGAAAACATGGAATCTTTCCAGGGCTCCTTGGAAGGAGGGTCTCGGAAACGCAAGAGTATGCCAACAAAAATGCCACCTTCCATCTCCCTTGAAGATTCCTCATCACCACCAGACAGACCTGAAGACCACAATGACATAGGCCCTTCCAGTCTCCCCTTGGTGTTCAAACAGCCAGCACAGCCCAAGTACAGCTCCCAGATGATTGACCTCTGCAACTTTGGTTTTCAATTCTACCGAAGTCTGGAGCATATTGGAGCCAATTCCATTAAGCAAGAACCAGTGAAGCCCAACATGGCATGGCCCAGTAGCCCAGCATTCGTACAGGCTCCTTACACTTATTACCCTAAAGTCCACCCTGGCTTAATGTTTCCTTTCATTGTACCACCAAGTTTTCATTTCAGGAACCCCTTTCAAATGAAAAGACCTCCAGAACCACCCTTCAGGAGGGCTGAAGCAAGAGAAAGTGGTGAAAACAAACAGAAAGTTGAAAGAGTAGATGTCAACCTTCAGATAGATGACAGTTACTACGTTGATGTGGGGGGTGAACAGAAACGCTGGCAATGTCCCATGTGTGAGAAGTCCTATACATCCAAATACAATTTGGTCACCCACATCTTGGGGCACAGTGGCATTAAACCACATGCTTGCACCCGATGTGGCAAGCTTTTCAAGCAGCTGAGCCACTTGCACACACATATGTTGACACACCAGGGCACTCGGCCACATAAGTGCCAGGTGTGCCACAAGGCTTTCACTCAAACCAGTCACCTTAAGAGACACATGATGCAACACAGCGACATCAAGCCTTACAACTGCAGGATCTGTGGCAGAGGTTTTGCCTACCCCAGTGAGCTGAAAGCACATGAGTCTAAGCACGAGAGTGGCCGAGAGAACATTTGTGTGGAATGTGGTCTGGACTTTCCAACTCTGGCCCAGCTGAAGAGACACCTAACCACCCACCGTGGCCCTATACAGTACAATTGCACTGAGTGTGATAAAACCTTCCAGTACCCAAGTCAGCTGCAAAACCACATGATGAAGCACAAAGACATCCGCCCATACATCTGCACTGAATGTGGCATGGAGTTTGTGCAGCCCCACCACCTGAAACAACACTCCCTAACTCACAAGGTAAGCATAGGTTGCACTCTCATCTTGCATCTAAAGGTAGCAGGACTATTACAGGCTACTAAGGTATCTACCTCCTTGGAAAGAGGAGAGACAATACAGCCTCATGTGGCCTTTTGCCAGCTTTTGCCATACTGACACAGAGCAGAAACCCCAGCACTGTTGGCAGTACTACAACCCAGATGTCTCTGTCAGTCTTAAGAAAGTATGCACAAACTGACTTCCTTATAAACGGGAGTTCAATTAAACCACCTGTATTACTTTCCAAAACTGTATTCACATCTCTCTGTTTCTGGCTTCTATCTTTTGAATGACTTTTCTGTAACATAACATAATTTTGCAGAGCCGTACAATAATCACCACCCCCCCTGCACCCAAAAATTTAGAAGAATTTTTTTACTGAAACTCAGTTCTGCTGCTTTGTTCTCTAAATTAGGAACTAGATGGGCTTGCAGTAGACTGCAGGAAAAGAAAGATTTTGAATCAGATTTTGAATAACAATGAGAGAATTTAAACCCAAAAAATCCTAAGAAAAAATTCCCCTTTGTGCATATATTATCCAGAATGCCAGTTAATAGAAATGGACAAACAGGACCATAATCGCAGACAATTCATATCAAGTGGCGGTCTTGCCACCGCTTACAATAGTGACAACAGAGTTAATTTAGGGTAGAAGCAAATTTGGAACACTTCCAGAAAGATTGCTTTCAGAAATAGGGAAAATGTAATTGTTCTGTTCAAGAAGTTTGGAAATTGACTATCCACCTTTATAAAACTATTGTTAAGACAAGTAAAACCCCCTCACTTTTAAAAAAAATTGCTCCCAGATTTAAATATTTTTCCTTTAATTCTTGAATTTTGGCTTTTATATGAAAAACATAAAAAATACAGAAAGCTACAGCATTTTAGTTTTAGGGACATATTTTCTTTTAAAAACCAACAACTTCTAGTATAACATTTGCTTTCCTGCTTAATGATTAGGGTTTCTGCTTTTCTTGGAGATTCCCTGGTCTTTGGATTTACCATGCAAAATTCTACTAATTGAAGACTTTAGTCACAGGAAATGAAATGCCCCTGAGCCTTTACAGAGCTTCTGCTTCTTTGTCCACAGCTGCAGGTGGATTCTGCTGTGAACACAGTTTACAATACTTAGCTCATGAAACCAAGCCTCACATCAGATAAGGAGACACACAAAACTGCTGTGATGTTCACAGTTTTGGCTTTTAAATTAACTATGAAAAACACTGACAGTGGCTTCATGTCTTTGTAAATAGAGCTTGCAGGAGGAGTAATTGCTCTCAGCACCTCACTAGTAAATCCTCATTATCTTCAGCAAATCATACTCAAACTATTAAGATGTTTGGTGGCAAATTCTTTGATTTTCGTAATATCTTAATCACTTTTTGAGAAGCTGACAGTTAGATCACAAGAGTGTAAAAAGACTGAATCATGCAATAGAAAATTGAGTGTACGGCATAAAGGGTAATAAAAATGCTCTATAAACCTCAGATAAAAGGAGATCATTCCATTAGGGTTACTATCCCACTAAGAATAAACATGTTTTCTCCTCTTCTACGAATGTAAAATGTATAATCTTATTTGGTGCCATTGCTTGACTACTTCTCAATTACTTCAGACTATTTCCCATAACTTTCTGCAGAACAGGGTTATACCTTTTTCATAATCCAGTGCTGGTAATCAAATTATCAAAGGCAGGTACTACTTTAGTCTTATAACTGGTTAGCTTTTATTCTTGGTCAATAAATGTACATATTTGACCAATACTTTACTTAAGTAGCAGAGTAAGACAGAAAAGCACTGACACTGACTATCTCATCAATTTGTAAACCATTATTTCATTAAACTTATATTTTTGTTTACTTCTCTGCTTCTCAGAACCTTGTAAGAATTTCTCAGGAAAAATTACATTGGTACCTATTACTTGAACAAATGTTAAAATTGAAATAATTAATTATTTACTTTTCTAATGCAGAATGAATAATTCATACATTGCTGTACTGATGATTAAATGATCTAGAAAACTTTCCATCTAGAGTTTTTGTTTCCTTGCAGGGTGTGAAAGAGCACAAATGTGGAATTTGTGGCCGGGAATTTACTCTGCTGGCCAACATGAAACGACATGTCCTGATCCACACCAATATCAGAGCTTACCAATGCCATTTGTGCTTCAAGAGCTTTGTGCAAAAGCAGACTCTCAAGGCTCACATGATTGTTCACTCTGATGTCAAACCCTTTAAATGCAAGGTAAGTGCATTTGGTGACAGAGGTGTTAATCCACAGTATATTTCTCTGATATTATCATCTTGTGATATCACAGAATTAGAAAAACAGGACTTGTTAACATATACTGCATTTAAATCAGCATAAAGCATCCTGGTTTTCTTTATTTATCCTGGTTTTTCTTATGAAGTACAAAATAATAGAGCTAAATACCTGTGGTTTCCTCCCTTCCTCTTCAATATCAGTAACTTTCATCCTCACATAGTTTTGGTTTTGTTTTTCTTTGTGAGCATTTAAGTGCCACAGAGGTTTGAGGACAAGACAATATCTGACATTTGCTTTGTATAACCATCCAAACAGAAGTTCAAGTCCTTAATAGCTTGAAATACTGACTAAAACCATAATTCAAATCATGCACCCTGCAGAGGATCATGGAAAAGCAGCAGCCACAACTTCACATAGTGAGGCTATGCAACACTTCAAGAAAGGAGTCAAAAAACCCCACAGCAAATTACAACTACAGAAGGGATTTGAATGGGCCAAGTGTAATTACCAGACACATCAGTATGCTAGCAGAACAACCTCTGAGACCATCTGGCTTTTCTATGATCCTTTGCAAATTCCAGTTTGCTGCTTCTACACAGTACATCGGAGGCTGACATTCCCTTTCCATCTCTCTTCTCCTCCCTCCCCATGAAAATCTAAAGCTTTCTTGACCCTGTTTAATATATTCTTTATGAATGATTCATGTTTATATTCTTACTCGGTATTGGACACTACGTAAGTTCCTTTTTTCTGCCTATATGATTCCTTACTGTAGCCATACCTTGTGAAGTCAAAGGTTGTGGATTTTATTCCAAATTTAATTTGCTATAATAAATAGTAAATACAGAGCAGAACATATTACCCAATTTATGCATAAGACTGATCTGAAAGCAATTTCTTAAACTCTTTCATCCTACATCTTTATGGAATTGAGTATTTTCTTAAAAGGACCATTTCATCAAGAAACAGAGATGTATGAAAAATTTTAAATGGAATGATTTCACTTGCAAAAAATTCGAACTTCATAATGTCATAGGAATACATAACATTCAGTGCTAATTTTAATAAGAAAATGTAAAACCAAATATTTCTGACTTCATCATTTTGCTTTGTGATTTTATTTTGAAAAAATAGCAGTGAAGTTTTCTAACTTTAGTGTTTTGGTTTTTTATTCCATATTGGTAAAAGAAATTTTTTACTGAAATGCTTGCGGAGTTTCATGTCAAGTCTGCTGGAGATTTTTGTTCTTTGAGAACATCTGGAAACCTGCCTTCTTGTTCCCGTGTGGTCAAAGTCCTCTTCTGACTCCTCAAATTTCAGAAAAGAAACTCAATTGTTTGATAAGCTGTTGTGGGTGCAGTATGTGGAACAACACTATTTTTTGGGTACGTGCAGATTAGCTGGAAGGTTGTGTTCAGCTTAGTGTTTGATGACGGTAGACTATTAAAACTTGGAGATGGTAATAACTGGAACTGGGAAATGGAGTATCACTAGAATGTTTTCCAGCCAGTAACAAAAGCTCTGCAGGAACACCTGTTTTTCTTATTTTTTCACTTTTCTGTCCCCACCCAGTGTTCCTAGGAGGAAAGAAACAAGTAAGCACAGTGAAGCTCTTTCTCCTGTGGCTGAAGGGGTATGAATCAACACCAGTGCCCCTGAGAGTGGAGATTGCAGCAATAAGCAAAGGCAGAATCAGCAATTGCTCTTTGGCATTAGGAGCGTCCTAACATTGCCTCTCTGACAGAGCCCTCAAAACACCCTTGAAAGCAAATATTTCTGGTTGGTACTTGGAGGGTTAAGGCAGTGACCAGATAGCAGCCTTTTGGCACCAAGCTCCTCCTCAGCAGAAGGAAGGATATAGCTGTATGAACAGCCTGCTTAACAATGGCTCACATGTCCCCGGGGAACCGCCTGCAAATAGATTTCATCTTGCTTTCTCTTGTACTTTTCAAAGCTTCCTGTTTTCTCACGGTCCTTTTGGACAGTTTACAGTCATTCTCCCTCTCCCTCTCTCTTTGAGGAAAGGAACACCCTTCTTATGAAGAAAAAAAAAAAAGAAGAAGAATGCAAAGGAAAGAGAGCACAGCAGTAGCCTTTCTACTTCACCACATGCAATAATTTTCTTTACCTTTTTCTCACAGCGAAAGAAAACATGAGCTTTCCTATGAGTCTAATCACAGCTAAGCATAGACTATCAGAAGTGAAGGAGTAGCAAATAGTTGTCCCTTCTGTTTCCTCATTCAGCTGCAGCCTGGATCTATGTTTGATTTGCCTTTGAAGAGTGAACTTCTCTGTAGCATTTAAAGTCCTGAGCCCATGTTGCTGTGTTTATTTCTGTTTAAAAAAAAAAAAAGACTGCAGAGTTATAAAGGTGTTACACCAACTGGTGCAACAGTGCTAATTCTGACTTGTAGAGGAAGGTTCCATGAAATTTACTGTTGTTTTTAGTGCTGGAGTAATCAGTGTTTCAGACCTCCAATAAAGAATGCAATGAATTTTTTTCCAGCCCAGACAAATAAACTTTGCAGTGGATATTTTGAACTCCACTTTTTTCCCATCTAAAATTGTGTGTTTTAATCAGGAGTTCAAAACCAAAGAAAATGTGACAGACAAGTACTTTGAGAAGAAACAAAACAGGCTGACAGATCTAGAAGTGTGATACTCCATGTGATACCTTAGAAAGACAAAATCTACAGTTGAACTAATGCAGGCTTCTTCTAGCATACTGTACTGAAGTCCATTTCATCGGCCAGTGCAACAAAGTGTGTTCAGCAGACTTGCAGCTGTTTCTTCAAGGCTTTAATTTTATTTTGTCTAAAGTAGACAACCTAACAAAAAGTCCACAAGTTCCTGACATCCCAAGTTTTCTTGCATAAAACCATAACATCTCCCTGAGCACTATGGTGATCTGTAGTGAGTTCTCCTGGAGCTCCGTCCCATGCAACTGTCATCTTTCCCACTCTGACCATCAGTGCTCACAACCCTGTCATGCCACAGAGAAAGAAAATCTTGTACAACCTTCTAGTTTGATCTGCAGCCTCAGGCTGTTCATTAAGCATTAGCTGTGTACCTCAACTATCTTTGAATTACAATCTCCCAGTATGTGACCAAAAAACTGCCTCCTTTACCCTCTGTATCATTCATCCAAAAAGTGTCTTGCACCTTTTGAAAAGGACCAGCTAAACAAAGACCATGAGACACAGAAACATCATTCTGAAACACAATTTTAATATCTGCAATTCTTTCGTTTTCCTGCCACACCTCTCCCTTCTAGTACCGTTTCCTCATGTATCCAGAGCAGATTTCATGACAAGAACACATTACACATCCCTAAGGTATGCCTTACTCTGGGAAATGGAAAACCTGTCAACTTTATTCAGAGACAAAGAATTCTATACTGTAAAGAAGTATCCTTTATGAAGTCCTTTTTCATTACAAAGAAAGACAAATAGATATTACCTTGGCAGAAGGAAATAAATCCTATTAGATGAGTTTTAATACTCAAGAACTTATAAAGATATGTATTTGCATGAAGTATTCTAGCCACTCACCTATTCAACTTGATTTTCCTTGTCCACCGGTTTAGATAGAGAAATAAAGACCTAGCTATAGGAAAGCAAGATCTGGTGACAATATAGGTCAACCACAATATAAGCAGATAACCAGAAGCCTTCAGCTAAGAGGTATTAGAAAGCTATTATTATTGGCCTTCTTGTAGCAAGAGTAATATTGACATATTATAGATTGTTCTAACAGCTGTCAGGATACAATCAGCTGCTGTTATTCCTTGCAGATTTTCTGGGCTCATCAGTACTTTTCCTGTTTGTTTCCTCCCAGCACTTTCAGGGTGTTTCTTTGGTGCATTCATTTTTCTGAATATAAGCAATCCTGCCTATTATCTTTGTTTGAATGCAAAGAAGAGATAGTACTCTTTGCTAAGTGGATGGATAACCCTTGGAACCAGATATTTTAATTTTAAAAATTAATAATTCATTTTCAGTGGCTTTTTTTCCCCTCTTGTTATCTTGGTGAACACTTTGTTAACAAATTTATTTGCTAGTATGTTCACTTTAGGAAAATCACAGAGAGAAAAGCACAGAAAAAAACATATGCAGCTGAAGCAAATAATTTTTTTGCTCACAAGTGAATATTTCCAGAATCTTTGTTTTTGCAGCACTGAGTCAGCTCTAGTTTTATTGTAAAACAGTGCACATGCAAAGTTTTTGTAAAATGAACTGATTCAATTTTCCTTCAAGAGACAGTGTAAAAAGCAAAGCACATAGTACTTTTTCACCAACGATCATTCCACTATCTACATTTCATCCAGATGTTCCAGGTGATGACTTTCTGAATTTGAATCTACAAGTATAGTATCAGATGTTCTATAATATCTAAATAAATGAAATCAGAATTCATATTATACAAATAATGTGGTGGCATCTTAGTAATTTCTTTTCAGTAATTGTCTGCCAGATGATTATCCTGCTAGATGGAAGTTTCAGTTATTCAGAAATGGTGATTCTGGCTCATAGGGAAATAAAGACATTCAAAAAAATTAAAATCTGTTGGTAGAACCAGTGAGAAAAAAAAAAAAGGAGCTGAAGTAGAAAGCAAACACGGAAGTTTGCAGAGGATGGAAATAGCCACTTGAATGTGAATAAAAGTATAAATCCTGATAAGGAAAGACCAGAAGACAAGTAAGACTAGACACTTCTAATAGTGATGTCAAACTCTCATGTCTTGAGAATGCATTTGTTTTATAAGAGCCCAGACTACAAAAGGACTCATCTAAATAAACAACAACAATGAAAAAAACCCAACCCTTACTGTTCCATCAAAGGAAAAATTGCAGGATCAATGGCTTGAGCTGGCAGGAACATGCTTCAGGGAAAGCTGAGTCATTCTTGCAGCCTCATGACTGTTTAAATTCCAGCTTACTCACCAGACACACCAAAACATAGAAGTTGATAAAAAAAAAGATAAAGGGATCAGAGAAAAAAGGGTGAGCAAGAAACAAACTAAAATAAGGAATTGCTTTTTATAGCTTTAAGCAAAATTTGCAGCTGTTTAATTTCCACTTAAAGAGAAGTAATATTCTGTTTGACAGTGTCACAGAAACCCTTAAGTGGTTTTATTTTGTAACTCCATCTCTGCCTGGCATTGTTCTTGATTAAAGGCTAGGTTTATAAACTACAAATGAAATGCTTTGCCAGGGCAGAAAGTTATACTTTGAATGTCATTCAAGTTAAGAGCCTACCAGATTACTCACTTAAGTCTCTCCCCTCCTTACAATAACATTGCCTGCTTTTGGGGAATCCTTGATTGTATGTCTTGGTCACCAAATTAAAAGAAAGTAAGCAGTGCAGAGGGTCTTAGATACTTAAACACATATTCTTGTGTGTAGGATTATTGCCTGGAACTTTGAAAAACACATTGCAGCCAAAAGCTGCAAAGGCTCAAGTAGAGAATGTCCTATTTCCTTTTAAAATGCTCTCCTTGTAAATACTAATTCAAAGTAATAATTTTCTTTTTTACTGTTTTTACAGCTCTGTGGAAAGGAATTTAACAGAATGCACAATTTAATGGGACACATGCATTTGCATTCGGATAGTAAACCTTTCAAGTGCCTCTACTGTCCCAGCAAATTCACCTTGAAGGGGAACCTAACCCGGCACATGAAAGTCAAACATGGGGTTATGGAAAGAGGATTTCATTCTCAAGGTAATATTTTTCAGCAGGGTTATTTTCTGTGATATCTGAAGATGCATATCAGTGAACCCAAATGGGCTTTGTACTATAGATCCATGAACCTGTACCATGGATCCAATGCTATTGCCAGTAATAGAATCCCATAAGCCTGGGAAGTTATATTATATATATACTATATTACTACAGTGTTACAGGTCAGAGATCCTCAATAAATCATAAATTATTCTTAAATTGGCAGAAGCAGAAAATCTAGACCATTTATGGGTCTTGCTTACCACATCTTAGATTCCAGTCTGGAATGCAGATGGAAACCTGAATGTCTCTACATCCAAGAGCCTTGTACTGTATTGGCATAGCTGATGTCAGGTGAAGGCCACAGACTCAAGACCCAATTCACAAAGGAAGACATGAACAGGAGATACTACTCCCCTATCTCAAAGTACAAGGATTTTTGACTACTCAGGGTATCCTCCAAAGCATTTCCTGTCTGCCACCTACCATGTACCATTCCAAAAGTCATCCTCATGTATGCACACATGTCAATGCTAACTAAAGAAGTGGAGGAATTAGGGAGGATTGTTTTGAAAGTTTGATTTTCCAAGATATGTTTTTTAAGATTTTGCAGATAAATAATTCTTTAATGGGGAAGATTTTTGATGTTCCTCAAATTCAAACATTAGGGAAGCCCAGCACATATGTAAAACACTTAATCTAATGACATTTGGCATAAAATTTACAAACATCCTAATAGGTAATGAAATAAGTGGTTTTTCTCTGTAAATCTCCTACAAGCACCATGTTAGTCAGACAATTACTTGGAATCGGAGATTGCCTAAGAGCTTTTCATTGTACAGGGATTCTGCATCCCTTGAGGCGTATCAGACACAAGATAACTTGTAAGGCCTGCCACCTGCTTATGAATCATTTCAACAAATACAGCTGGTTGCAAAGTAGCATCTGTTATCTTGTGAGACTGCATAGATTCTTCAGAAACTGGATTCAATTACTGAGGGGAAAAAACAAACCAAAGAAAACAAAAAAAAGTAAACTACTGGCTTTTGTATATATTTACTATCTGGTGAAATCCTCACCCCAGTACTGTCACCAGTTTTTAATGAAAATGGTCTATGCCTACAGTTGCCTTCTGGGTAACATCTGTATTTCCAGTAGAAGGAAACACACTGACAAATATTAAGGCAAATCCGATCCAGGACTATATGCAGATTTACACTACACTGCTCAAAATCATTATTTGTTTATAATTATTTCCTCAAGCTGAAGCACTATCTAGCGCATAGAGCTTTTTGGTTGATTGGTTTATCAGTGGATGAAAGGAAAAATTAAGGAGAGTGGAAGTCACAGACTGCCGAGAATTTATTGTCTTTTCATTCTTAAAGTATTAACTTTGAATTGGAGTGTTCATAGAACAACTACATTAACAAGATTTTAGTATCTTTCACTTCTGTGGAAAAATAATATATAAAACCTGACCCTGGATTATGGACTGTGATGCTTTAGATCAAAGTTTTCACTTAAGAAAGAATAGGAAGGAGGAAGTGGGTAGGTTCACTTGCAAAAAATACCTTACAAAAGGCCAGACCACTTCACTTTTTTTCCTAGTTGCCTCATGAAGAGTCTGGTATATATAACATAATGTTTTTTGTATCCTGACCTGTCTGTGAAGTGTATAGAATAGCACTCTTTTTTTCAGCATCTCAAAGGAGATGCTATAAGATGCAATAGTGAAGTCCTTGGAGGTAGCTGGATGGAAGACAAAGGTAAAGTATGAACTACAAGGCCACCTCAGAATCTGTTTTTTAGCCATGTATCAAGTAGTAAAATTTCCCATATATAAATTTTTCCTTTTCTCCTCCCCTCAAACCACTGCAAGGTTTTGGAAGAGGAAGAATTGCACTGTCCCAGCCAAATGTGTTGAGAAGTTTGGAACAGGAAGAGCCCTTTGATCTTTCCCAGAAAAGCCAAGGGAAGGGAATTTCATTTCATTCTGATGGTGAGAGTGCCAAGGGAAGCTCATGCCAGGAAGAAGAGGAAGACAACTGCTATGAGGCAGAGCAGTACAGCCCTGTCATGTATCATCATGATGACAACAAGCTGTATGTGGCTCAAGATCTCTCTGGCAAACCTGAGGGCATGATGAAGGGCTTCAGAGAGTCCTACTGCAATGAGAAGGAAGAAGTGCTAAGTGAGGGAGGACCGGGGAAGAGAATAGGAAATTCAGACAAAGAGGAGAGCCAAGGAGAGGGAGAGCTCGCAAACAACAAAGAACGCCTCAGCTTTAGATCCTTTGAAAAGGCCAGACTTGGCCACTCTCTCTCTGATTACTTGTATTTCAAGCACAGGAACAAGAGTTTGAAAGAATTGCTGGAAAGAAAAATGGAAAAACAAACTATGCTTATAGGCATGTAAAATGGACACTTTGAAACAGCTGGAAAATGCGAACCAGAGAGCTTTTAACATGAACTGTAACTTACCAAGACCTGGAAGTCTGTAATAGTCTTTAGAAATAAACAAGACAAATCAATAAAAATAATTTAGGGTAGAACACGTACATTAAAAGTCAATGAGAAATGCAATAGATATTGAACAATACTTTTATATTTATCCATTTGATGTAAAAGCAGACAATGGGTTAGGTACAGAAGTTTAATTACTATTATATGGGGATAGATACTTACATGCAATTTTCTAGTTAGCAGAAAGCAACATACTTTAGCATCTGATTTTTTTTTTATTGTCTGACTAGATATATATGAACACTTCTAGCCATATGTCTCAAAAACATTTGAAAATAGTAAATATTTCACATTATAAGCCAGAGTGCTATTAAACATGACAAGCATGAAAATGCTGTCAACATTCAGAACTAACACAGTCCAAATACTTTGATTTACTGAAGTGACTCTTAATTCAACCACTTATAGTGAGAACTGGGAAAGAAATTAAGAAGAAATACTAATGTCTTGGGAGGTAGTGAAGGGCAACTCTGTAAGGCTTTGAAAGGACTGAAATTTATTACAAAAGCTCTTCCTCTGGCACAAGGAATGTTCATGCTTTGTTTCAGTCAGTATGGCAGTACTCAATAATTCTTCAAATGAAATAGCATAGACTGTGTTGACATTTCATTCTACTGCCTGCTCAGACCAATACATCTAATGGGTGGCAGCAGCATGTAGCATTCACAACCTTTCTATAGTTACACATTAAGAAATATGAGTAATTGCACTGAAAAAATTACACAGTTTTGCCATTTATCTCTTCATTTTTTCATGACTAGTAAGGACGATTTTGAAATACACAGGCCTGATCAATTTTTATTTTAGAAGGTAAAAATAACCCTTATAGGACAAGCAGTACCTCACAAACTAGTTTTCAATTTGCTCTTACTGGAGGCAGAAATTTCCCCTTATCAACGTATCTTGAGGAGGCTCTAGTCCTTTCAGAAGAATTCACTTATACTGTTTTTACCAAGTCATATCAGCTTTTCATCCTCTGATTCCCATACAATTATATGTTCATAACAAAGATGCTTAAAGTATATTCCATTCAACTTTTCATTATTTGCATGAATAGTTTGGCCAGCATAATAATTTCTGCACCTTCAAGATAGACAACAAACAGCCTTGCACCATGCTAAATAAAAATTTAATAAGTCATAATATTTTACTCATGTCCTGCCCATATCCCAGCTTAAAAAGTTAAAATCCATATATATATATATATGTATGTTTATATACATATATACACATATGTATGGTACTTCTCTTCCAAATATTACTGCCTTCTTCACTTACCTGCCAAGTTCTTGATTTGAAATACATTGCTATCATGTCCAATACATGGTAAGTTATAATTAAATATAGTCATATACGTGGTTTGCTAAGACTATAGTCAAGTAGCTGCAGCTCTCTGCCACTATAAGAAAACACACACCTTTCAAACTAAAACAGTGCAGAAGTCTTTATTCCTTGAATAAAATTGGATTTGTGTAGTCCAAGGCTGGAGAAGGTGGTTTCATTTTCCAAGGCTCACACATGTCATAATAAATATTGCGAATGAGGAGCAGAAAAAGCTGTTGATAAAAGAAAAAGTAACATACACGTGACTCTTCTAAAATGTGCATACCTTTTAAAAATATAAAGGGTATGCCAAACTGATGTGGAACGTAGGTCAGTTTAAACCTAGAATTAAAGAAGACTTTGGAAACTAAGTGTATTTCAGAGATACATATCCATGTTTTTCCAGGAATGAACTGTTTTACCATATACACTCTTCCTTGCCTCAACTGTAAGATGACACCTCTCGAAAAAGGAGCCATCTTTCTTTCAAGGAAGACATTATGGTCAAGCAGAAGAATTAGAAAAAATTCAGAATAATGAGTGTAACTGCATTCTTTCTTAGACTGTAGGGGAAATGATCAGGTAAAAATTCATCATAGTCTAGGAGATGGTCCCTTAGAAATGGAAACAACTCCTTCAGTTGCCTTCTTGGCACTATCTTGTCTCTACCAGAAAAAAGCTCCCATTTGAGAGTGTATATAGCCAAGAGCTGTGAGTCACTTTGTCTTAGAATTGTCTCTGTCTCAGTGGTTAGTTTCCAGCTATGCATGATTCCAGACCAGTCCACTCTACTTTTGCTGCCTATTAGCTCTCATGATAAGAAGAACAAACAAGGAATCAGAAATCTGCAATTTCTAGACTGGTAATTATGCAGATGAGTTGAATTTAACAAGTCCTTTACTTCTGTGGTGTGTAAGGCAGGAAGGCACTCAGTTCTTCCATTGCAAAGCCTTGTTGCCTATTCATTGGAGAGTGCTATGGGACAGCTAAACAATCTTTACCAAGAAAGAAAGAAACAAATCATTGTGTATCAACAGCAGTCCAGGCAAATGGAGTAAAGGAGAAATTTTCAGCAGAGTTCAGCTCCCAGCATATTTACCTGGACTTTAGCAAAGCCTTTGATACTGACTCCCATGGCGCTCTCCTGGAGAAGCTGGTAGCTCACAGCTTGGATAGGTCACTCTTTGCTAGGTTAAAAACTGGTTGGATGGCCGGGCCCAGAGAGTGTTGGTGAATGGAGTTACATCTAGCTGGCAGCCAGTAGAACTCAGTAGTCCCCAGAGCATTGGAAGGCAGCCCTGTTTAATATCTTATTGATGATCTGGTTGAGGGGTTTGAGTGCACCCTCAGTATTTGCACATAACACTGAGTTGTGGGGGAGTGCTGGTGTGCTGGATAGTAGGAAGGATCTGCAGGGTGATCTGGATGGGTAGGATCAATGGGACAAGGCTAGCAGAATGAGGTTCAAAAAGACCAAGTGGTGGGCCCTGCACTTGTGTCACAACAACCACAGGCAACATTACAGGCTGATGACAGAGAGACTGGAAATTTGCCTGTCAGAAAAGGACCTGGGGGTGCTGGTTGACAGAGGCTGAATGTGAGCCAGCAGTGTGCCCAGGTGGCCAAGAAGGCCAGTGGCATCCTGGCCTGTATCAGCAACAGTGTGGCCAGCAGGACCATGGCAGTGATTGTTCATCTGTCCTCAACATTGGTGAGGCTCTATCTCTAATCCTGTGTTCAGTTTTGGGTACCTCACTCAAAGAAAGACATTGAGGTGCTGGAATAAGTCCAGAGAAGGGCACTGAGCCAGGCACCATTCCTGGAGGTGTTCAAGAAATGTTCAAGAAATGACTGTGTGGCACTTGGTGCTACAGTCTAGTTGACCTCATGGTTTTCAGTCAAAGGTTGGACTCAATAATCTGAGATATTTTCCAACATAAATGCTTCTGTGATGCTGTGATTCTGCAACCACAAGAATTATGTCTACTGGAAGCATTAAGTCCAGAGTTCCCTTGTAGATCTTGTAAGAGAATGTTCCAGTTGTGTCCTTGGGAAAGAAAATCACTGCAAACCACTCTGGGTTGTCTAAATGGTTAACCTGAATTCTTCCAACCACACTGTCACTGCAGTCAATTTACCCTCTTCTACAAAAGCACTTCTCACTGGAGCAAAAGCACCTGACAAACACATACTATTTGCAAATAATTTCTAATAGGAATCCCTTTTCTCACATTTTTCCTAGAAAGCAGAGAATATTCCATTACAATGAGACCTTGAGATTCTGCCCAGTCACAGTCACACTAAGCTAATTCATAAACACCCATGCTAGAATAGTAAAAAACTCATCTAAAACTGTAAGTTACCAATAAGAGGAGTTGCAAACAAAACTATAAAGATAATGAAACAGTGCCAAGTGACCCAAGAAAAGTGGTTAGGAGATACCAGTCCTCTCTGCTGTAGAACGTAATGCAGATGGGTCTAAGACACTTGTTACAAAGCGGTCTCAAAGGACAAATTAAAAGTGAAATAACAACCTTCATTGTGAAGCACCTTGCTTTTCAAACATAAGTTATTTTCATGCTATTTACATTGGCACCACTTTAGGAACAGACAGTAACAGCCTAAGCTTTGAAAATGCTTTATAGAAATTTGCTCTCATAATGAAGCTATTTCCCATTTCTATTTTTCAAGGGATTAGCTTCCTTATTTTGCCTTGTATAGAGGCTCAGAAGTCCAGTGGAGACATTACCTGTGTCCTGGACCTTGGGGGATATGTTTTCTTCTTTTTCTGATTCCTGAGTTAATCTACCTTCTTCTTCCTGTGTTGGGGGAAAAAAAAAAAAAAAAAAAAAGTATTTATCTTACTGTTCTCTGCTATCTGTGTTTTCAGTGTGTGGTGACACATGAAACTAAAGACCAGGCTCCAACACCTTTACGTAAAATCCCATACGTACCATTTCCCTGCATTGTTAGATGAAGCCTAGCTTCATCCTCTTGGAGAGCATAACAGCAAATAAGAGTGGTCACAAACTCGTACAGCTGAGATGCTTCAAGAAGTTATGATGAGGAAAGGTAAACTGGCCCTACCATAATCAGTCTGGGCAAGTGAAGGCATGTGGTTTGTTAAATTATAGGCTTTCCTGGTTTTAAGGGCAGCAGGGAGAACAGAGTAGGTGGAGGAAAAGCCAAAAGCTGAGTTAGTAAAAATTAAGGGTGAAGATAGAAAATAAATTTATAGGGAAAGAGGAGTTGTAGGTGACCCTGGAACACGATGTGTTGATTCTGGTCACCAGGACTCAGTTATCTCCTTGTGAATCAGAGTTTTCCTGGCTGCCAGACAGCCCTCGGTCTGTGAACACAAAGACAGGTGCTCTCTGTTCAGAAACTCAATGGGTAAAACACTTCATGATAGTATTATAATTGATGTTTATCCTGTACTGTTTCTTCTAAAATAAGTTAATGGAAAGACCTGGTAATGCTATTGTACCAACCCTTTTACAACTCTGTGTTTCTCTATTACCTATTCTTTGATATCTCTCTTTATATGGTGCTGCTGGACTCTGCTGTTTTGAGTGTACAGTTAAGAAGTAATATAAGTACTGTATTTATTATTCCAAGAAGTTTTTAATAATTATTAACAGTTTTGAAAATAAGTCATGTCTGCTTAGCTGAACAAGATGTAACAGAGCTAACATTTTGTACTCCTAACAGATTTTGCGAACAATGTGTTGCATATTTATTTCACATAGAACATTGAGTTCCTATTTAAAGCCACAACTCAAGAAGTCAACCAATTATATGTGAATATTTAGTTTCTGGCTTTCTATCTTATTAGTAAAAGCATGTATGATTTATTGTATTAATTTAAGCTAATAAATACATATCAAAAAAGCTGCTGTACTTGGTATTGAAATGGATCTGGAGTTCTTGACATTCTAGGTATTTTATATAGTAAATGCTGATCTGACAAGGTCATACTTCACTCAGTGTCACTGAAGAGTGGTTCTTGTAATGGGAAGCTGTCGTGGTTTTGCCCGCCAGCCCATCCCTGGGGCTGAGGATGGTTTTGTCCAGGTGATTTCCGGACAAAAAAACCAATCAAAAAGTTCAGTGACGCCTTTGCTAATTACATCTTTAAGAAAACGGAAGAGAAGGTTGTTGCGCAGCTGAAATTAGGAGCAGCAGCCATGTAGGAGAGACGCGGTGGGCCCGAGGAGGGCCAAGGCCCCCTCCTCCCCCGGCTTGGGCCGGGGAGGGGGGCAGGTGTAGTACTGAAACCTCCCTTCTCTCTTGTGAGAGAGTGAAGAAAAAAAAAGGTTTAAAAGACGAACTGCTTAAATGAGAAACCGCTGCAGAAGAATTCCAGCCATGAGATAACAGGATTTTCAAGGTCGAAGCTGGCAGCACAGGAAAGAGAAGAAAAGTTCGAAGGGGGGAGAACTGCTTTTTCTCCTTTTCACTCTCCCTCCCTTCAGCAGGGTAAAGACTGAAAAATAAAACCCTGCCACCTGTAGAAGTTTGCTGGAGTGAAGAGACCCCCCGTGCGGCTCACAGAGGAGCTTGTGGATGCACCAGAGATTTGTGACTTTAACAGAGAAAGCCTTATGCTGGAGCAGGAACGGCTCGGATGAGGCAGAGTCCTGTTAAAGACTTTGTGACCCTCGAAGGGATCGATGCTTATGCTGGAGCGAGACGACTCAGATAAGCTTGGGATCTCAGTGAGAGATCCATGCTGCTGCTGTTGAAGATTTATGACCCTGACGGGTATTAGAACCTACGCTGGAACACAAAACGGTTCAGGTAGGGATGTTGGGATCCATGTGTGGGATCCGTGCTGCTGGTGCTAGAGAGAACCTACGCTGGAGCAGAAAATGGCTCAGGTGGGATATTGGGATCCGAGTAAGGATCCAGACTAGACCCATGCCGAGAAGTCAATCAAGGACTGTTCTCCCATGGGGGAGGGACCTCCATAGGGAAACAGGGGTGAACTCTTAAACCATTATCCCCTGTAACCCTGTGGAAGAAGATCCATAGTAAGCAAGTGTCCCCTTGCAAGTCTATGGAAGGAGACCCTTCAGGACCTGGGTAACCCTCAGCCTTCGGTTTTAGCCAAGGAGAGGGGTAGGCCCAGCCCTGGAGGCTGACATAGAGAAGAAGGAGAAAAGGTTCCAACTGCGACGAAAGTGCTGCAGAATTACTGGAGAGAGAGAGAGCTGGAATTCTGAGAACAGAAAAGAACTGCTTCTCCTCCTTGGACTGATATAAAGGGAGGTGGGGGGAGAAGTATCTTCTGTAAATACATAATACCTTTTACTTAAGTAGAATTGTTGTAAATATAATTCTTTAGTGTTAGTTTGTTAATAATAAATACTCATACTTTTTTAAATTCAGTCTCTTTTTGTCTGCATAAACCTTCTCTCAACTAATAGTAATTGTACGTGGAGGTATAAAAGTAAATTGAGCCAGGGCAAAACCACGACAGAAGCCTAAACCAATGATGGACAATCAGTTAGAAGACCAGAACAGAAGAACGACCAAGTTCGTTCTGATGCAGAGATATCACTTTATTATTACTGACTACACAGAAGACATAAAGAATGCTCTGGAATGATTATGTTATTTGTCAACTTGTCTTCAGGCAAGCCAAAAAAGAAAGACCCTTATCTTAGAGACACATTTCGAAGACCTGCATGATGTAAAAAGAGAGGAAAAACCAATCAGATGTATTGTAGGACTGAAGTTAAGAAGGTAGGAATACTTTTATAGATTAAGTAATAAGCAGAAGACTGAACTCAGAAACACACTGTCACTGTTTTTAAACAAAAGCATCACTTTTAAGTGATGATTAAGCTCTTGAATTTTTTTGTTTTAATGTCATCTTGATTAAATTGGCATTATCAGATTTCACAAAGAACATTTGAAGCTGTTTATGAGCACAGAGAGAAAACAACTGGAATGTTTGTTATAAAATATATCAAGTAATAACAAAAATAGAGATATTCTGTTTCTAATTCTCTGCGGCAAAAATCTTAAAAAGTGCACGAAGGCTTATGTAAATGCTAGAACTACATGCAGGAGGCTAAATAAAAAAGAACTAAGCCTTTATTTTCTTTCCTGTTATTTTCTTTTTTTCCCCCTCATGTTTTGATGCTAGGTAACAATTACTATTACCTGGTTCATTCCCATGTGATTCAGTATCACTAAATCTTGAAGTTTCCCCTTTGCCAGTTGGAAAAAAAAAAAAAAAAAGAAAAAAAATTAGAAAAATGTATGTTTGGTCTTTTTCATAAATTTCAAGGTGAAAAATGACCTATGCTGTTCTATGTAGAAATTAGGTAGAAGAGAAATTGAGCCTCTGAGATGTTCCCAGAGGGTTTTTCTGTGACTGTAATGACATGGTGGAAGGCCCACTCCATCTAAAGGTGTGGAGACAGACAGATTAGTATCAATGATATGACAAGAAGTGGTGGATCATTAAAAGGAAAACCAATGCTGGTTCGATACAAATGATATGAAACGTCTCTGAGAAGAACAAGTCACTGTCAAGTTACAGTGTATTAGACCTACAGATTAAAATCCTGGTTTAAGTAACAAGTTTGCACACACAACCTCTTTCAGAATTTGTCCCATTAATACACTCTTAGGCTCATGTAGTGTGACACAACTAAGTGTGTTTGCCCACTGGTTCATAAAGTGAAAATCTGATCTAAAAATATATGCAGCATGTGAGTCATTTCAGCACTTGTAAATGATGAAATACCAAATAGGGATCACTGCTAATGCTGTTTCCAGATATAATAATGTGTGATATGATGCTGTATTGGATCATATAGCACAAATTTCCCAAATGATCAGCCTGCAATGAAAGTACAGTTGAAGTTGAACAGAAAACAGCCACTTTATAAATAAATCTTCTGGTGTCCTATCATTCTGATTAAATACTGAATACTTTGAAAAAATACTTTACATTCAGTTCCATCAGACAAATGATTTAATTTGGATGGAGCCAGATTTTCCCTTTACTGAATTACTTCCTGGACTGAAATATCTTTTGTAGTAGGAGCCTTTTCATGCAAAAGACCTCTATAAATTTACATCACTAGAAGATGTTGGCTTGTGTTTTTGGAGGTGGGATTGTCTGTTTGTACTGCATTTTTTTCAGTACTTAAGTGCCCTTACAGTTCTGAAAGGAAAATCTTTAAAGAATAAATTATGTTCAAGACACTAATTAGACAACTGAAAAAAAGGTTGTAGTAAGACGAGAATGATGGAGTTGTATGAAAATTAGAAATGTATATTATCCTGTGGAGAGCTATTATAAAATAAATGGAGACAAGAACTGTCTAAAAATGTAAGAGAAGGTGTCACAAAAATGTCTCTAAAAGAAATACAGTTAAACAAGATAGGTGGCAGATATAAATGCAGAAAAATATTTGTTGATACAGAGTCATATGCTGCAAGAGGATTCTTCAAGCTGCTCAATTCTTTACAGACCTTGCTATTTTCTACTACAAATTAAAGGACTTTTCTGGAAGCACTAACTCTTGATGTTTTTTTATTTGTTTCATAGGCAAAGATAATTTTTCAAAATCAGTATATAAAGCATTTTTGCAAGATAGAGAATCCACTCTCCAGCCAGTCCCATAAATGTAATGAAAACTGACAACAGCGGTGAAGCCTTGCTGTGAAGAAAGTTTCACTAAAATTGAAACAGCATTATGCCTAGTACAATCTATCTTGAAAGTCTATGACAGCAGCACCAAGATCAGACAGGTCCAAAATTATATAGGTTGATAAATGCACTTGTAAACAATGCCTGAATCCTAGAAAGAAACATGATCTTACTTAGATGGAAAACATTTAAATCTGTTCCCTAATGAAAATTTTTATTAAACTGGGAGTAACTACATTGCAAGGTCCAAAAGGATTGTATGAGACAGACTTCACATGAACAATAAATTAAGACTAGACACCAGTAAAATTGATTTCACTGAAATATTTCCTACAGAAATGTCTGGAGTTGCTCACAACCCCATTGGCTCATACATGCTTGTTAGCACCACTCTGTGGGAGGTGTCACCCCACAGCCAGCTGGCAGAATGGATCATAAGAGACGATCATACAAATGTCACCCATTCCAGTGCAGTTAGTTAATTTTAAATGTATTATCCCCAGGTTAAGCAAACCTGCCTAATTTCACTCTGAAGGGGGTGAGGTATGCTTGTGCAGCCTGTTCAACACTCTTCCATAACATGCAGCTGTGGGACAGAAACATTTTGAATAGCTACAGCAATTTCACTAATGAATATCCGATAAGAACATACACTATCGCTCCCTATTTCAACAGTGAGGTCAATAGACTTGTATTAGCAGATACAATATCTGCATGAAATCACTCAGCTACTCATTCCTATTGGATAACATAGGGTCTTTTAATTTCCATCATGTCAGTTACTCCATTGCAGAAGTCTAACAACTGTATAGTTGATAGTTTGACCTGTTTCCTCAGTTTCTTACAATCACACACAGGTTTATTTTATTCCAGAGCCTTAATTTTGCATTTTTAGTCTTCCATGCAGAACTAATTTTTGTGTAGATCCTATCATGCACATAGGAGAGAGTAAGGGTAAATGAGTATTTACGTGTGTTTTCAACAGATAGTGGCAAAAAAGCAAATTTTATTTTATTATTCTTCTGCTTTTTTATTTTGTGGGTGGTTGTGTGTGTTTGTTTGTTTGTTATGTTTCTTCTCTTTTCATTTCACTTCCTCTCATTAATTCTTTAGGACTATAGTGCATAGATCATGATTACCTTTCTACAGGGATACTAAGTGGTCGTGGTGATCTCTGAGAACACTACTGCAGAACCATTTCCATCCTGTTTTATTGAATGCTTGAAAGGAAAAAGAATCCAGTGTGATGGACGAGCAGAGAGAATGACAGACCCAGGTGCACTCAACATAATTTCCAAGAGCCATTACTGTGAGTGCAGCACACTAGTCCTTGCATCTAAGCAAGATGAAAATCTGAACAGTTTTAGATTAGTTTAAAAAACCCATTTAAATGTTTCAGGGTTTGCACTTTTCAACTTACAGACTGATTATGTGAGTGGACAGTGGGAACATACAGATTCACTTGTAGTGGACAAAGATTGGTACTCTCGCTTTTATTTTTAGATCTCACAAATTAACAGTCTAGTCAGCCACATTATATTTATAATGCACCAATTTCCACACGTGAGTTGCTTTAAAGACACATGAAAAGAAATACCTTCGGATTGACAGCAACCACAAAATCCTTCAATCAGGTTATGAAGGGTGGTCTCACCCTATTCATATCATCCAAAACCAATAGTTTTATAAAGCAACATAGTCAGCAAACCTAGACTCACTTGTGTTATGTAAATGTGGATTTGTTGCACAGCTAAAGATCTCTTTGCCCAAAATTATCTGCTACTTTCTCTTTTCTGTAGCTCAAGCACCTCAATTGTTGCCTAAAAGAGAACAATAATTGCCTGTACATCAGAAGATTTTCCCCATTTTGATTTTTTGTTTTCAAGTGTTCTAACTTTTCACTCTAAAATTGCATCCCAAATTGCCATGAGTCATGCAAAAAAAAAACAGGGCAGCCGGGAAAGACAACATAATAGTTTTGAAGATCTATGTCGATTAAAAAAATAAGTAATTTTACCAATATTAAATGCTTTCCAAATGTATACTAAGTATTTCTAAAATTTTTTTTATTTTAGAGCTACTTTGAAGACAAGGCCACCTGCCCAGCAAGTAGAAAGCTATCCTGCACTGAACAAACCTGAAAGCCCTCTAAAACCATTTAGTTAAATGAGTAGCTTTCCAGGACTTACACTGCATTTTTTCTTTGCTATATTGTACTTTCCCATTTCTGACCCTCCTGCTGCTTTCTGATTCAGTTACACAGGACAATGCCTGGAGGTAGGGCCATCAGAGGAACCATATCTCCCTTGGCCTGCAGCCCTATTCCCTGTAGCTAAGGAGTCTCCTCCATTTTACAGTCTGGTTACTGATCAAAAGCTTTCCACCTTGGTCTTGTGGGGTATAAGCCATTGCAGCACGTTTCACAGGAGAGATGTGAGACTTTTCCCCACTGTGATGGAGGGTGACAAGCTTCAAACAGATGCCATGGCTCCCAGGGGCAAAGTGGCTGGGATTGCCCAGAGACACACAGCAAGACTGGAGTCAGCCTCCCACTAATCGGAAAAAAGGATGCAAAAGGTGTACAAGGAAGGAGTACATCTGTATGTCATCACTACCATGAGTCACTGCTTCATCACCATTTGTGCCACAAAGCTCAGTGTGAGTG